GACCAGAAAGTAGTTCTATCCCTTGATTCGGATTTAGGACTAAGGGATTATGTCCCACAATTGTCCTAGTTTAAAAGTGGTTTGCAAAAGGCAGAACCGGTTGACATATTTGGCCTACTAATTTATTCATTATTTCGTTCAAAGTGTTTTGTTGTTTGGCCATGTTGTCATAATGTGCATTCCCATTTTGGGTAAATCTTTTCATATTATGAATATTTCGAAAATTTACATATTCAACGACATCTTGTGTGAGTTCTCCAAGTAGTGCACGCATAGTTCGAGGACTCAACTTTGTCATTGGTTCGTAACGACTATTACTACTCTGATTCTGTCCATCTGTTCGTGGAGAGGCATGCTGCTCCTCATATCGCTCGATCACAGACTGGACTCCTCCCTGACTTGTTGCTTCCTTATCGGATCTCTGAGGCATATTGTTTCACCTTTTGTATTTTCAGCACCAAACACCACTGTCCCACCCGGCGTGCTAAATTGTTTCGCGCAGGTTCGTCGCTAACAATTAAAAAAAGGGATCAGACGATTGTGTAAGGGACAAACCTCTTGAAACAAAGTCCCAAAAGGGGGTGTTCTTTATTGGCGATGATTTTACAATCGGAAAGTAAAAACAGAATGCCTCCAAGGGGCGCAAGCACACGAGTTATTGAAAGAAGTGTTTAAATCTAAACTAAGAAATTTAAAGTTACATGTTCTCTGTTCGAGAGTTTTTGATTCGGGGTTTTTGCTCTATGTCTTTTCTTCTTTTTATACTCCCTGGATGATCTCATTGTGATCAACCGCCTAAGAACATGCTTGATCGTTCTATAACTGTCTACTTTCCTCGTAATGGCCAACTTGTCATGGAACTGCCTTTTCTAACTACTGTCATTACTCTTTATCGTTCAACCGTTTTCAATTGAATTCCTTGAATCGTGGAATGTGATAGGGCTGCTTAATAACTGCTTTGATAACTGCGCTTCTTGATAACCATAACACTTCATATTTGCTAAGACCTTAGGCGACTCGAAGGTTTGGGCGAGAATAGAGTAGCGACTCTGGACGACTGCATGGCACTCCATTCGCTCAGATCCTGGGTGACTTATAAGCTTGGACGATGGTGTTACCGCGTTCATGGGCCTTCATCCTGAATTGTTTGATTGGGCTTCGTTATTTGCGCTATCTAATTTGGGAATCCTCCAATTGGGCTTCATTCCTTGGGCCATTCGATTTGTGCTGAATTTTTATGTGTCAACAAAAACCAAGCATGTTTCAAAGGAAAATAGGGCCTCCGAAGGATAAAGGTGAGAAAAGGGCTTTGGAGCGTCTGTTATGGCTTTTAGAGCTCAATTTTCATCCATAGGTAATGAAAGATGCAATGAAGGAGATGGAGTGGCGAAGTTGGATTCAGAAAAAATACAGAGATGAAGGTCACTGAGGATCTTAGGAAAGTGATGAACGGATCTAATTTAGGGAAATGACCTTCACATATGTGGGTGGGGCCATCGTATCTTGGAAGTGTTCAAAACAAATGGGTATAGCTCAATCCAAAATGGAATCTAACTTTATTGCTTTAGAAAACAGAAAGAAAGCAGAGTGGCTTCACAAAATTGTTAGAAAACATCCCATGTTAGCCTAAGCAAGTTCCTATAATTAGTATGCATTGTACTAGCCAGTTGGCAAATAGAAGAGCACAATGTAATATGTAAAATGAAGTTTCGACACGTATATCAAAGACATAATACTATTAAGGAATTGATCTCATCATCTCCATCGATCATGTAAAATCAATGGAGAATCTCTTAGATCCTCTTAGTAAAGGTTTACTAAGAAATCAAGTATATTACCTATAAAAAAATGAGATTAAAGCCTAATACGTAAGGACTTTTGAACGATAACTCAATCTTACTGACTGGACATCCCAAAATCTTGTATCAATGAGATACCTGATTATGAAGATTCAATGAGTACTTGAGATCTAACTCATAACCTTCATATGATAAGAAAAGTGCTATCTACAAAATGTTTTAGGTTAAGTTAAACTTTTGTTTCAATGCTTGAATTCTCTATATGACTTATGAAACCCAATTTCGAGTGAATGAGAAATTAAGGCAAAAGATGTAACTTGAAGTTCTAATAAGATGGAATTAAAAATGGTAGAGAAATGAAAAAGTGTCCATCCATATTAGAAAGCTAAAAGTTAAAAAGTCACTTGTTATATCTCAAGTTTGACATTACGATTTGGATCTCAAAGAGTACTAATAGATTTTTTGAAAAGAAGAGCTTATTGGCGAAAGCTCACACGCACATCGTCTTTTTGAATGTGACAGTTACAAACACTTCTTTTTGAATAGTGACAGTTACAAACACGACTTTTTGAATAGTTGTTGTCTAGATGGGGTGTATCTTTTGGTACACGACTTTCAAACTTCTATATAAAACCACTAAATCATGGATTTCATTTATCCGAAAATCTTATTCTACAAAATAGTATTTTTTGTTTTTGTTTTCTGCTCTATTTAGTCTTTTCCATTTCAGACCCTAATATTATATTTTGTATATATTTTAAGTCATCTTTTCAATTGAGAGAGCTCCTTACATTAGCAGGTTAGTTGATCTTGAAATTTAAAGTGCTACTATTACAAATCAAGATCATTATATCTTAAAAGACAAGTGCTAGAGAACCAGAAGAACCAGCACGGATCATTATCCTCTTAGGAGGAGAAAGTCGAACTCTTACATTGACTATTTTGATTTCTCTACATTATTTTCTTCTTATTGTTTTCGTGGTAAGCGAAAATTCTATCCCCCTTTTTCCTTTACTGAAAGGTTAAATTTTGGATATAATATATGCACGATATTTCTTTTTCCCCAACATGTTGTTTTCCCATACTTCAACCTTACTCTGCTTCCAAGAATTATACACAAGTTTTTGAGCCAAAATATTTATTAGATGAGTTCATATTTTAAACCATTTAAAAATTATCTTTTCACTTGCTTAAATGCCTGTTGACCTTCTCAAATATCTTTTAATTGGTCTTCATTTCTGACATGAAGTTTCTTACAGCCTTTCCATATTTCCCTAAATAATATATTCTCTATGTCCAATTTATATATGCTGACCTTCCTTATTCTCTTGTCCCAATTATATAGTCATATTTTTTTTATTGAGAATATTTAATTTTGTTCATTTTATTGAGAATGTTTTATTTTGTTCGTTTACTAATATATCTTTATTTAATTTGCCTCTTGTATTACTACTTGTTGATAATTAGATAATGGTAAATTAGAAAAGCTTTTGGCAAAAAATTATATATTCAATAATATTAAATAAGATTTCTTAATCTGTGTGAAAAACAAAATCAACCTATATAAATAGGACGGACGGAGTAATCAAATCTAATATGGGAACACGAAGTCAACAAGTTGTTTTTAATTTTTATTTTTCATCTGTTTCTCAACCAACAGAAATGTATCTTGGGGATGAAAGTTTAGTTTTTTGGACAAAAAATATACATTTTTTTATCTTCATCAAGTTATGCCTTGGAGTGAAAGACAATTCCGAATCCGATTTATCTACGAACAAGGAAGCTATAAGTAGCGGAGGAAATCTTATTTCAATTTCAAAAACATAAAAATGAAGCTCCCACCCTATCAAGAACGGACTAAAAGGGTCACCAAGAATGTGCGATATATGGCTCTCGGTTGAGTGCTCATTGCCTAGTTTTGCATTTTGTAGCATCGTTAATTCACTCACCGTCTGTTTTTTAGCCTTGTATTTGGTAAATGGATGAGGGTGATATTTCTCCTCCTTTCTTTATCACCTACTTCATTGGCAGGATCCCTTATTACATAGGGCTTTAGTTCTAGAATTTGGTAAATGGATGAGGGTGATATTTCTTCTCCTCCTTTCTTTATCACCTACAAAATTGTAGTCGTTAATATCTTGTTACAAGTTATGTGCGTTTAATTTAGTAGCCCATTGTACAAATGTTATGACATGAAATGCGGGGCATGTTTAGTGCAAAGTACTGTATAACATAAAGAACAAAGGAAAATTCTACTTGTACATAATTATTGCACATGATGATATCCATAATATGATGTGGCAATCATCCAATTGTTGATGTGCAAGTGTGATATTTGAATTAAAAGTTGAATCCAATACCACGTGTAATTATGAACACCATTATATAGACAATTATGTACATGTAGCACTTTCCAAAAACAAAACATTGGACTTCTATTTTGTTGTAGAGTTATCCACTCCAGCCTATTAAACTTATTGCATATTTGTGGTTGCTAATTGTGTAAGTTTAACATGTATGGCATTTCAACGTGTCTAAGCAAGATTTCCTAATCCATCTGATCATACAGAATTGGACACAAGGTTGTAGTCAATCCGAACACCTAGCGTAGAGTCGAGTATCGTCCAAATCTACGAGTTCCTCTGTACGTACTTCAGTCTTCTTTGATTACGAAAGAAGGTATTCTCTTCCAAAAAGAAGAGAAACATCTTCAGTATCTAATCCTATTCGCTCCCCTAACTCTTGTCTCTCAGTGTCAGTATCGACCATAAGAGGATAGTGCACTACCAATGTGACAATCTTGCAGTGTTGCAGTCTTTCTTTTATCATTTGTACATGATTGACATAATGTGATAAGGATATCTTTAATGGCAACCGTATCCTTCTCGAACTCAAATTCATCCCCAATATACCGAAAACAAGTAGATATATGCTGCCCTATTTCCTGGTTTCTTTGGCTGTCCCCCTCTAAAATTTGACATGTCCAATATCGTTTAACAAATAGCTAGGCATCATAGAATACAATACAATTGACATCAACTTTGAATCAGCAAGAGTTTGATGCAATTAGTTGTCAAAATGATAAAGGGAGGATAGCCCAGAAGACAAGGAAATGATGTCAGCAGATTGAAAAACTGGCGCCACTAATAAATCATAATATTTTATAAGCTTCAAATCATACTTATCAGTAATAAAATGCACTAAAAAAGAATAGAACAGCTACTATAAACATATATAAGAGTTTCAATCCATTTAACCAACAACAGTTTGGAACATTATTTGAGTAGAAACAATGAAATTTGGTTCAATCTTGATCACAATGATATACTGGAGACACAGTTGAAACCTATATTTGATGTTTCCTTTAGCTGGAAATCATCATTTCTTAAGATGAGGAAAACAAGCATAGACATCAGCCTTCGGGTGCTTTGCTTCAGCATGTTCCCTGCATTTCACCTCTGAAGTAGTGCAGATAAATGTCTGCATGCACACCTTGCACTGCATTTCACCACCACCAAGCATTTAAAAATGATAATAAATGCAATAGTTTACCCGCATGCATCAAAAATATTAAACATTAAGATGACTTCTGCAACTTTTAGAGGGAAAAGACAGCATCACACTGGTAAATTCCTACTTATAGCTGTCGTAGTCGAACAATCTCGTCTTCTATTGCCTGTGGGTCTGCCACAGGGAAGGAGGAAAGGCTCATAAAGAAGGATGCCTCAAAGAATTAGGACCTGTTCCACCGTGGAAATATACTGGATGGGTTGACTTGGATTGAAAGTGTACAAGCACGTGATTGGACTATCACCATATTGTAAAAACAAATTTTCTTACTTCGTAGCTTTGGAGTTCAAATTATAGCAGAGAGAATAAGATGCTAATATAAAACTTTGTAGCTTGCTGTTACAAAAGCTAAGTGAGATAGAGATTACAGCACAAAAATGGAGAGATGGAATATTGAAGAAGTGAGAAACAAGCACGTATCACAAACATGAAATCAAAAGACGCAGGACTGCAGGGAGATATTAACACAGTTTCATAAATTTGGCATATGCAGAATCATCAAAAATCTTATACAATAATGTTCATAAACAAGGATTAAACGAACATCTTGGGGGTTCATTTAAAATGAAACTACCTTGAAGCTTGCTCTGTTTAGATCCTTAAGGAGAACTAGTTAAGAATAGCTTTCCATGTGAAAGCACTCTTTTTTTGGGGACAAAGTCAAGTTTAGAGTCCACTTAACTCACTCAACCACTAAAAAAATGAAGGTTTTCAATTTTCACTTTCCATAATCGAATTTGAAACCATAAATTTTTGACACATTCCAATACAAGAGGTTTTTAACTTCGCAATGTAGCAATATTTAAGCAAATTATTGGTATTTTCCACTCTGTCCCCTAAATCTACTTCCAAATCCCAGAGCTATTCTCCTGTGAAAAGAAGCTGCAGGGTTTCTCGGGCTAAGAAAATGTGAGCAAGGTTCATACCCTCTAACATACTAATGAACAGGGTTTTTCAAAGAAAACACAAAAAAGTAGGCTTCTTTGTTTCTAATGCAGGAGGCTGTTTTTAACTTCTCGTTGGCATAACGGTCTAGGAAAAATCTACTTTAACTAAGCCAAACAACTAAAATAATGAAGGGAAAAGTACTGCAAGTTTCACATACAGAATACTACAAAAATTTATGCTTATTCAAAATATCAACAAAAAATCCCTAAATAATCAGAAAGATAGAATAAAAGTTCGAAAAATAATCTCAACCTGGATCGACATGGCTTTCTTGTTGGATTCAAGCTGACTTCCTGCGTAAAAAAATGCATCTTTTCATCAGATCAACACGGTTCAAATAAATAAATTCCCCATTTGATCTCAAAATTATGGAACCAAAGAAAAAAAACCTAAAAAATTTCACATACCCCTTCCGGCGGCCTTCATCTTTTCCATATTCTTTTCACGAGCCATCTTGGATTTCTGTGCATTACCTCCACCCATGGCTTCAGATCTGCTTTCCTTGGTCGCCCACAAAATTCGAGAAACAGCCCTTTACTTCTTTAATTTTCTTCAACCACGAGATGGGTTGATGAGTGACGGAAGAAAGTTAAAAGAAAGAAATTGCAAGGTTTAGTTGACGGGGTGCGTGGGTATCTGTTACTGGCCTTTATAGCAATAATTAATGCCCGTATTCATATACTACCATAAAATTACGAAACGTACATATTACAAACCTAATTTTGTAGACATAGACTATAACCTAAACTTATTTATTTATTTTTATTTATTTATTTTTTTTAGACGTAGACTATAACTTGCTTTGTAGGGCCGGTGATTCCATAATTGGATGTTTTGTGAAAGAGAGGGAGAGTTTATTGTCGTGTAAAATTCGATTCGCGTGAAAAGTGTGAATTGTTGTAAATGATAAATTTATTAGTATATAATATTTGTATTTTTTACAATTTTATAAATTATTATCGTTGTATTCTTAATTCTTCCCTACAAATAAATGACTTTGATTCTTAATAAAATACACACAAGTGGATTGGATTTTATTTTCTATTCTCTTTTTAATTTTTCATAAAACGTTATTAGCACGATAGCTTGATTTTTCAAAGTTTAGTGAATATAGTAATTTTTTATAAGCGTAAATATTTGTCATGTATGCCAAAATTAATTTGGTGATATGAGAATTTTTCTACATACATATGCATCGAAATGAGAATGGTCTTCTTCTACTTTTTCAATACTTTTTTTTTTTTTGCTTGTACGCAAATTTATAATAATTATATCATTATATGTATAATGATTACTTTGTCCTATTTGCATGTCTATATATGAAATCAATTCACGTACATGTTTAGAGTATTTTTTTTACTTATACAATTTTTGTAATTAATTTTTTTATATAAATTCATATCATATCTATAAGATAAATAAATATTTTTAGATTTCTTCTATAAATTCTAAATTAATAATTTATCATGTTTTTGCTCATGAAGTAGCACAACATTCTAATTAATATTCCAGTAAAGTATTAATCATAAATCTATCTATTATAAATAGTTTGTTATTGCTCTTAAAATAGGACAATATTATAATTAATGTTCTTGAAAATATTACTTGCTTTTGAAAAGCATAAATTATAATTTTTTATATTTCAGAAGAATATTTGCATATTATTCTTGAAAAATCAATAGTAAAATACAACATATTTTCAAAATAGTACATGTTTCGAAGAACATATTATTTAAATTGGTGTTTATTGCTAAATGAAAACATACTCATATCATATTGATATTGACTATTTGATTAACCGTTAAGCGATGTTTAATCTTATTTTTCAAAACTAATTATATTTTTTTATTGTGTAGTTAATCAAATGATAAATATCACAAAATTTGAGTTTGCTACACTCGATACATCTGGCAAAAGCTATCTGTCATGAGTACCTGATGCTCCATCTTATCTTAAAGTTCTAGGAGAGACAATAAAATAACGAAACAAAGAATCCATATAGAATCATGCAGAAGCATTCATCTTCTTTCGTTGTCATCATCACAATGGATTGAAATTTGAATATTCTACTGAGAAAGATCCACATACTCTTTGAAAAAAATTAACTGAGAGATTGAATTATCAGAGGATTATAGTCTTCCTTAAATCCCACTATGAGTGGATGTACATTTTTTTTTTTTTTTTTGCAAGACTTCAAAAATGTTAGTGAGTATAATTCTGGCCTGTTCAGAATATGTTCAAAATTGACATTTTCTAGAGAAAAATCACAGATGAATATGTTGGAGAAAATATTTTTCACCTTTTATGCTTCAAATGTGCTTTTGCAGCAGTAATATTGCGAGCATAGTTTCATAAAATACTCAAAACTCATATCCTACCTACTTGTGGCTGAACAAAATAATGAACTGCTGATGAAAAATTATGAATTACGTTTAACTGGTTCTGTATCATTGCTTGCAGCAAATGGTACCACATTGCTTGAAGCAAATGCAATATCAAGACAATGGCGTGGACGTGGATGCGAATGTGCATGTGAAATAAATCATGTACGAAATAATCAATAAGTCTATTAGCAATAAGTTAATAATTTCAAAAGGCACAAAACAAATAAAAGTAGCACATCCAAAAAAGCAAGAAAAAAATATATTTTAGATGTGGAATGAAATGATATTTGACACATACCTATTGTACTACAAAATATCTTGTGGATATCAACCGAAAATCAATCAAGGGAAAAGTAGAGCCAAAATTTGCTGATTATGTGATACATTGATGTGACTCATTTGTATGTATTTGTTTCTTTATTGATTCAAATGGCAATATTGACCATTTAATTGAGGAGGTGTAGTAGGAGGTATAGATTAGTTTACTTTCTAATATTTTATTTTGTTTCAAGAATTCAATTTGAAATATGTTTTTGCTTTTTGCAAAAATTTAAAATTCTATTATGCATCGTTTATATTAAATTATGTTTACTCCTTTAAATTTAAATTCAAGTTTTTTAAAATATATCTATTTTGTTATATTTATATATTCATGATAGATTGTCAAGATACCTAAGTGATTGATAGTGTAACTATACATAACATTCGTCAAGACAAAAAATATTTTTTAGATTTAACATTAGCAAAAAACAATGTTAATAATCCATCAGGTGCATCAAATATCATTGAAGGCTCCGGAAGAGCTTGTATTGTTTTACCAATTAATACAAAATTATATATTGACGACGCACTTTATTCTAGCAAATATAGAAGAAATTTGTTTAGTTTTAATGATATTCGCTACAACGGATATCACATTGAGATGTTGCAAGAAAATAATTTAGAATTTTTTTGCATAACTTCTTTTGTATCTGATCAGAAGAAAATAAAATAAAACTTCATGTACTTTCATCTGACATGTTATATATTTATAAAAATGGTTGAATCAAATATTGTCATGAATCAAAAGTTCGTTGATTCTAAGATTTTATACTTTGGCCGATCGACTTGGACATCCATGAGCTATAATGATACTCGAATAATAAATAACTCACATCGACATTTTTTAAAGAATCAAATGATTCTTTTACTTAATAATTATCCATGTATAGCTTGTTCGTACTAGAAGTTAGTCATTAAATCTTCGACTACAAAAGTCAATATTGAATCTCCAACATTTTTCAAAATAATTAATTGAAATATATGTGGGCTAATACACATATCATGTTGATCTTTTCATTATTTTATTGTATTTATTGATTCTTCTACTAGATGGTCACGTGTTTACATACTTTTCCACTAGGAATGTAACTTTTGTTACACTACTTGCTCAAATCATAAAATTACGAGAGCAATTCCTCGATTACTCAACCATAACTATTTATCTTGACAATGCTGGTGAATTTAGATAACAACCATCCGATAATTATTATATGTTAATTGGGATTGATAGTAAACATGCAGTTGCGCATGTCCATATATAAAATGGTTTAACGAAGTCATTTATTAAACGCCTACTACTTATTTCTAGACAATTATTTATGAAAATAAAGTTCCCAGCTTCTACTTAGGGTCATGGTATATTATATGCTGCTTTATTGGTCCATATCAGACCAATTGCTTATTATCAATATTCACCTCTACAACTAGCATTTGGTTATGAACCTAATATTTCTCACCCACGAGTTTTTGGTTGTACTATCAAATAGGGGTGACATGGTTTGAATTGGACAATTTATGTTATATTTTCAACTCAAATCATATCATGCGGTTTGAAATTTTTCCAAACCAAACCAAATAAATTTATTTTTTAAACCAAACCATTATTTCCAATTTATTTGTTTTTTAATCCGCAATTTTCCTATCAACATTATAATAATATGTTTAAAATAAGTTAGCATATAAATTAAACGAGAACCAATAGTATTAAATGTTAAATTACATTCATATTTGTCTGAAATTCGATATATAAACAAAAAGGCCAAAAAAAGTATTAAGTTAGTATCTAGCAACAAGCACTCCACTCAAAGTTTTACAAGCAACAATATCAAAATAAATACAAGAGTACTAACCTCACATTTAATAAAAATTACATCAATATCCCCTGTTCTAACACATGATTTGATTTTTATATGATATGCAAATATCAAAATATTTATTAGTCATTATTAATGATATTAACAAGCAATTAAGAAACACTATATGCATTAAAATATCAAAATTGCTAATAGAAAACAAGAGTCATCTTCTATTGCTTTCTCCGAGTCATCCAATGCCTTTACCTTATCTAAATATTGACGAAGCACTATATGTTCATTACTGCTATGCAACCAATTCTTTGTGCATATTAAGGACTAACCTTCTTTGCACCAAATGAACTCCTAAAGGAGTCAAGAATCTTACCACTCATGGAAAATGCTGACTTTGAAGCGACCATGGATATTTGAATTTCTTATACATCTATAGCAATTTGATAGACAATTTTGAACTTGTGCGCGTTCAATTTCCAGCATACAAATATGTAAAATTTGGAATCGATCAAATCTTTACAATGATCAAACAAATAATCAACCAAAAATTCATTCTCAAATTGCACGTTTTGTAAGTTTAGCTTTAAAAATAGGAGGAATCTATTTAGAAAGATCGAAAGCAGCTTGTGAAGGACTTGGACTACTATTTTTGGTAGTCTCATTCAATGAAGTCGATGGTGGAGTGATCAGAGTTGCCATTTCTTCATAGCATGTATACAACCTGTGGAGTGTCTCTTCAACTCTTTTTAACAACATTTTTGCAATTTTTACATCGTAAATAAGTTCAAGCCTAATTTTAAGAAGTTCCAACTTGTACCTTAGGTCAAGAACTGTTGCAATGAAAAACAACTGATTAAACTTTTCAACATTGCCCCAGTACTTATCATATTTTTCTGCATACTAATTGCCGTGGATCCCATCAAAGTGTTTGGCTCTTTAGCTAATTCATTCAACTCTCCATGAATATCACATATTTCTTGAAAGAAAGAGTTAGAAGTTAAATACTTCGAGGCACTAAATTTTAAAGTCATTTTATAGAAAGTCCTCAAGAACCTAACAAATACTCCTGCTCAAGCCCAATCGACAGGTGTTGGTGGTCCATTTATATTTCTTCCATCAGACCCGTCTTCATTAAAATAATTTGTATAATTCCC